TAGAAAAGATTATATTAATTGCATGAGACAGTATATGTGATTTTCAGCTTCAAGTGTGGGCTGGATGAAAAATTTCCTTAAGTTTCTTTGTTCTAGAATTCCAGGGCAATGTGTCTAGAATTTTAACACATAGTATGGTGTTTACCATGTATAATTCCAAATGTGAGTTGCTAAGCAAGATCAGAATTTGAAAAAAATTGCTAACAATCCAGTCTGAAAGATTACAAAAGCATGAAGATAGGTGATAATCTTTATAAAGATTCAAAACTGATGGTATCAGAAAATTCCTTTGCATATACAATTGAGTTCTGTTCTACTGTGATGTAAAATCGAGTACCCTGTGTTTTTTGTTTCCATTGCCATTTATTATCAGTATCTTTATAAAACCTACCTTTGTCTTTGGGGGTTGAAAACATTATATAAACTTACAGATAAAAACAGGGCAGTTGTTAAGTGTGGTTTGTCTAACTGCAATACGTCCTAAGTTTGAGACTATCTGTTATTTTTCATTATGCTCTTTCTGATACTAAAATTCCACTTTACTCCTTTAGTTCTTTTTAGGTCCTTGGGTCATGCAAACGGTTAAGCACTGGACTCCTAGATGAAAGACGAGGTTTGAACTCATCCTGAGGTGAGCAGATCTGGTGAGCTGCTGCCAAAAACCTTAGATTAGTTCTAGTTTGACATACTTGGGATCACCATGATTTGGAATTGACTCCATGGCAACTAAAAACAATAGTTCATTACTAATAAGGATGTTTACCAAGAGCAAGAACACCATTGAAAACAATAAGGGAGGTGATGTTTGGGGGAATAATTTCCATAAACTATACTGAGCATTTAAAAAATTTGTAAAATAACCACATTTAATTACAATCTTTTAATTAAAATTTGTATGTTTTAATATCTATTGAGAAGTAATTCACATGCCATAAAAAAGCAGAAAAAAGTCATTTGTAATTTTACCAGATAACATTATTTTTGTTTTTTTTGCCTAGATTTATCTTAGATGTTAAGTACCTGACTTGAAGCAGCGAAGACACTACTTGCCATAATAAAATTTTGTTTAAAAAAGTGCATGAAATATGTACCTAATACATATCTTATGTAAAAATATCTTCAGCTGGTAAGAATAGTCATTTCATGGAGGGAATATTGTTTGTCCATTAGAAATGGACAAACTGTGCAGCAGCTGTTTATAATGTAGGCAGTCAGTAAAGGAAGTCCAGGGTTGTTGAGAGGAGAGTGGGGACCAAACAAGATTTTAGCTTTGTTTCTTGCTCTAATTTTTAAAAAAGGAGAATAGACTCAGTGTATTAAGAATTCAAGCATTTTTTTAAAATCCAAACATAAAATTACTGCATTTATAAAATTAACTTTGAGTTGGTTAATAGATGAGAATTAACATGTTCAGTCTTGGCTGGGTAAATAATTTCAGGAACTTTGTCCCATGGCCTCAACTCCATTTCTTTTACAATCTTTCTTATTAATTTCAAAACTGTAATATTGCATCATGTGATTGGGAAATATGGGAATCATCACTGTCATGAGAAACTCAGGTAGCAAAACTGGTTTTTAATTTATTTCCTTCCAGAAATATGTTCCTGATGATCAACTTTCAGCAAATGACACACAGAAGACCTATGTTTTAGAAATGTTCCAGACCACTCAGAGGTAGAGCAACAGATACTCCACAAAGAGACTGAACAATGAATCTGCATAATTCTGTTTTCATTTTAAAAGTCTGTACAATTTACCGAGGATTTAGTGGCATGCTAGTATAGTATCTCCATCAGGGTGATGGCATTAGGAACGTCAGGTAATATATCCACTGTGCAGCAGCTGTTCATAATGTAGGCAGGCAGTAAAGTTTATAATACATAACCTGACCCGATTTTTCTATTTTCCGTATTAGTCCTATGTCTAATTGTAGAGGGTTGGCATTTCTGCAGCCAGCAATCTACATATGTTGTTGTTGTTAAGTGCTGTCGAATCGATTCCGACCCATAGCAACCCTGTATAGGGTTTCCAAGAAGCTGGTGAGCTTGAAAGGCCAACCCTGCAGTTCAAATGGCTTTAGAGTCTGGTGCATTAACTCACAACACCACACCAGCACTCCGCCATAGCAGCTAGAAAAAAAGAAAAAGATATTTAAGGGGGCTTCAAAAAGTTCCTGGGAAAAATGGAATTTTTCCCAGGAACTTTTTGAAGTCCCCTAGTATGTACTTCTGTTGAGGCATAGATAATTTAAGAAACAAAACAGCATGGTTAGAATGACCTGCTGTATCAATTCACTGTTTTTGAGGTAATCCCGTTTGATACATCTTCAGGTCTCACTTAGGAACTTCTCTCTACCACATTCACCTTGCTCTCCTCTACTATGCTAGGCAACAGTTTACCTTCACTCTGCCTGAGACAGGCAATGATGCATCTTAATTTATTAAATTGCTGTTGTTGTTAAGTGCTGTTTAGTTGGTTCCGACTCACAGAGCCTCTGTATAGAGCTTCTGAGTAGTGCTGGTGGGTTTGAACCGCTGACCTTGTGGTTAGTCATCCAGTGCTTACATGAACTTTTTCCGCTGCAAGTATGTGTAGTATTTTTTTTTTTTTTTTAAATAAAGTGATCGTTAAGCAGAGGAATTAAACATCCAAGCACAACAGATGTTACATTAAGAAGAAGAAGAAAAAAAAAAAGCCAGAATTCTTTTGTCTACAATTCTCATATCCATAAAGCTCTGAAAACAAAGTTTTTTTCTAAGTTTGGTAGCAAACCTATTTGGCAGAAAAATCTTACCTGATTTGATCAAAAATAGTCTTTATTTATCACAATTAGTGTAACTATTCATACATTTACCATAGAAATACCACAGAAATAATAGTACAATTGAAAATGGGGTGCTTCCCAGATCTTTTTCGTTTTAAGAATATTTTATATGTACACTGCTACTTTTCTAAAATCTGAAAAAAAATTGATTCCAAATCATAATTAGTCCTAGGTTTTCAAGTAAAGAATTGTCAAGCAGTATTTCCCCAAATTATTAATGACATAATTCAAATAAAAAATAGTCCCAATAAATATTTTTGCTCCATAAAATGTTAAGGTTAAAGCCTCAGGAAAAGAAAAAAGAAATGTTTGAAGAGCTACGGAAATAAAGAGGCTGCACAAAAAATTACACAGGAATGGTTTGGCACATGATTATAAGACATTGTATAATTCCCAGAGGTTACTGAATCCACAAGTGGTACAAATAGTACATGCGCTTGGCTACTGACCAGAAGGTTAGAGGTTCTATACTATCTACATGTGCCTCAAAAATCAAGTCTGGCGATCTACTTCTAAAGAAATCAGCCACTAAAACCCTATGGAGCATAGATTTATTCTGATACATACACAGTCACATGAGTTGGAATTGACTCTCTGACAACTGGTTACTGGTTGGTTTACTGAAGCCATAAAGGAAACATATCATGCTGCTACTCTTTTGAAGCTTCTTTTAGGTGGTATGTTTAAGGATATTCTTGTTCAGGAATTCTCAACTCCATTAAGCATTACAATCTTCCAGAGAGTTTTCTATAAATACCCATACGGGAACCTACCTGGTATATATATATACCTCCAAATAGTCTGATTTAGTTTTTTTAGAGGGGTCCTGGTAATAGTGTTTTTTAAAAATTCTAGGTGATTGTAATGCGCAGCCAGATCTTTGAAAAGCCCTAATATGCCAACTGAAATCCAAACAAGCTAATCAGAATCTTTGGGGATGAAACCCAGACAAAAGTTGTTGTTTTTTCACAGATATCCTGGTGATTCCAATGTACAGCTACAGCTGAAAACCACTGGTTGAAACCCACTGAGTTATTTGGCTTAAGGATTAAGGTGTCAACTGTCATTTTTTTTCTTGAACCATGTCAGTCCTATATCATCACTGTAATAGGGTCTGGGTCACTAATAAAGAATTCCAACCTTTATCTGCTCTGATGGTGAAAAAGAGGCAAGGATAGAAAGCTACGGAGATCATGTGAGAAACACTTTAAAATATTTTTAGTAAAATAATTTGTACCAAGTCAAAACCACTTTGGCACACAGTAAATCATAGAGAAGAGAAACATCAGAAAGTAGAATTCACTTTCGTTTGAGCCTACAATATAAAGGAGAGCATACGGTAGAAGGTACCTAATAGGAAATCACAGCATCTTCAGTAACTTCTACTACAGAGCAAATAAAGACACAATAATTTACCAGTGACTTTTTAATTGTTTAGGAGGTCAGTGCTAATCCAGATTCCTGTACACACTTCAGAGAATGTTTGAAAATGCATTAAAAAATATTAAATTCAAGATAGCTTCTGCTCATGATAAGGTACACATTGTTTAGATAAAACTTTTTGCTTTTACTTAAAAATATTTTTTTCACACATTCTGAAGGTCATCGGAAAAAGACATGCAATTAAAAAATTTTTTTTATTGCTGACTCTCTCTGAGGCAGGAAGAAAAATGTAGGACAGACAATACAGCTTACTAGGAACCAAACACTTTTCACAACTGTGATTAGAAAAGCAATGAAGTCCAAAATAGTATATGTATTTAGGCTTATAAAACGTATCAGTTTAAAACATTTGAAGTAAGTGGCACAGTGTCATTTCTCTGCCACAACTGAGAATCATTTCAAAATGTCATTACTTTTAGTATTTACAGTGGTTTAAATAAATGTGTATCTACTGGGGAGGAAAGAAGCTCTGTGATGCAAATAATTTAGCACTTGGCTGTTAAGCAAAAGCCTGAGAGTTGGAACCCATCCAGTGGCTCTGTGGGAGGAAGACCCAGTGATCAGCTCCTGTAAAGATGACAGCCAAGAAAACTGTAGGGGCAATTCTACTGCATCATATGGAGTTGCTCTGAGTCAAAAATGACTCAATGGCACCAGATTCCAAATCCACTCCAGCAGGTAAGAACTTTTCATTTCAGAAGGGGTACAATGTAGCTGCAGTGCTAAGTAAGATTCACTCCCTGGGCCACAAGCCACAGGCAACTGTTGGGAGCAAGAGAGCAATAAGGACAGAAGAAAACAGATTCACTGCATTGTTATCAAGAATAGGTTTCCCTGCTATATACTTCGCCTCATTCGTTGGACTGTTGACCACCATCCCTGTACTTTCATCAAAACCTGGAACGGGAAGGAAAACAAATGAGGTGAAAAATCCAAATGACTTGAATTAAAAAAAGTAACAACTAACTAGCCAAATAAGACAATCTATTAGATTCTCAGCCACCTGTAAAACGGTCTCAAAAGATAAATTTATATGGTGAAAGATACTGGATCTTTTCTTACAAATGATTTCTTTGAAAAATGAGTTTCAGCATACATTAATATTGTTCTCTCAACATCTCTGATGTTTCTTCTTCGGAAGGACATGGCAAGAAATGTGGTAGGCTGGGCTGCCTACCCAGAAGTCCTTAAGTAGGATCATATTTGTGCCCTCAGCACTGGATACACAGGACTTACCATGGTGTTGGCATGAAGGATTGGCTTAAAGATTTACTGAATGAATCTCCCCCACTGCTCACATTCTTCAACTTACTCAATATGATCTGAAACTTCTCCAGTTAGAGTGTTACTGACCCTTTAGTGTGAATTAAAATCAGATTGCTTCCTTCTTGGTAACTAGTTCAGGCAAATGACACTGAGAACAAACATGGTGGGCAGAGGAGGGGAAGAATGAGTAAATCACCTTTGAGCATGAAGAACACAGGAAAGATTTTACTCAAGGAACCTTCCTCCAGGTTCCCAGTGTCTTCATGATGTTAATCAAAGGAGAAAACATGGTTTATGAGCGTGAGAACAATCCACACGTAACAGAACATGTCAGCGCAATGAATTACATACTATGAGTGCCTCAGAAGCAAAACACAAACGTTTTTTGAAAAAAATGGACTCTCCCACATATCATGGGTAGAGCCAAAAAACACAGTGGGGAAGAGGGCAAGTATGAAATCACAGTGAAAAGTAGGTTATATGTTAGTCAGGCTAGAACAACAATTATCTCTCAAATAGATTTAGAAAACATATGGAAAGAAGTGTATTAAAAAGATCTGATCCCACAATGTCTGGTTTCCCAGGATTAGGTGAAGTCTTATAAACCAAAGCCTCTTTCTTGCACTATTGTATATTCCCCACAGAGCTTTTAATCATTGCTCATTAGGACTAATTCTTTCAATTTATTTAATGCAAAAGAATAAGAAAATCAAAATTGTCTAAGAAATTTTCTCTATCATTCCTGATCACATAACTCCCTTTTTTTTTAATTTTCCATTGTCAATTCCTTTTCCCACCCCTCTATTTCATTCCACATTTCTTTAATGCACCAATAAGTTGTAATAACAAGGTAAAGTTCTTACCAGTAAACTGCATTGTAGCTCCTAAATATGAGTCCAGAATTGATCCTAGTAATCCAGCCAGGCCCCCAAATACAATAATTGGCCACTGAGGAGCCGAAATGTCTAAATCATTTACAAAAGTCAATTGTGTGAAGAAGTATATGATGCCCACAAAGGTACCACCAAGGAGACTGGAGGCAAGGCCCACTAATGTAACTCCTCCATTGGTCCCTGAGGAAAAAGCATGTATAAAATCATATTGTTAACACACAGCAAAAAACATAAAGCCAGGAAAGCAAGACATTTTTGTACTCATCTAATCAAAACTAATGTTTTTCTTTAAATTTTCATTATTTTGCTTTTGTTGAGACTATGAATAGCAAAACATATCATTTCAACATTTTCAACATGTACAATTTAGTGACACTGATAGTCTTTAAGCTGTGCGACCATTCTTACCATCCTTTCTGAGTTATTCCTCCTCCATTAAACACTAACTCACTGCCACTGAGGTTCCTAGCTAATCTTTCGAGTTGCTGTTGTCAATTTGATTCCATATAGTTCTTAAAAGAGCTTAATGCTTGCTTTGCTTTGGCAACCCCACACGATTGGCCCACCCAAGTGCCTCAGGAGCTGGTGGGCAGTGGCCCTTGCCAGGGATTCTCCAGCAGGGCAATGGGGGGGGGGCACACAAAAGTACTCTAAAACCACTACACACCCACTTCAGCAAGTTATAGGATTTAAGATGAAGCATAGAAGCAGATAGTGCCAAGTAGCAAGCAATAGTCGTTACACATTTAGTGAATGAGCAGCATTTCCTTTTCCCACTACTGCTGAGATGGCAGAAATTAGTCACATTCAATAGAAATGGAATACAACACAAGTATAATTCAATGACTAAGGTCTTGAAAAACTAAAAGTAGTACCACCAGGTTCTAACCTGGAACAAGGATTGCATGGAGGAGCTCCAAATGCTAGTGTGATAATGTAGACTCTAGAGAGGATTGTTGTTGCAGGAATTAATAAAGACATTCTGTTTTTAGCAGATTTTAACCTTATTTGGTCAACTCTGGTGCTGAAAACACTGCCTCCTGTAACACTAAGTAAAAGACCACTAGATTTCCTGGGTTTAGAAAGACCTCCTCCACCAGTTCAAAATGAAGAAATGTGGCTAGTTGGCACGCTGAAAAGAAAGTACTCTGAGTGAAATTGCTGTTTGCCAAAATGGGATAATAAAAAAAATGATTCCATGTATGACAATTCAAGTATAGGTTCAGCAACTGGAGGAACTTCAGATGACATGACTACTATAGATGCAGCTTTGTTAAGATGACAGATAAACTAAATAGATGGCTACAACTTTTAGGAGAGGCGAGCAAAGAACAATACTAAAAGAAAGTGGTTATGTATTCAATAACATTCTGGCTGCTAACAACTGGCTCTGCTGTTGACACTAGAGGTAACCTCAGCTCTCAAAAATATTTGTCTCATTGCTAGAAATATAAAAAACTTTCAAATGCCTTTGCTCTTTTCAATGCATTGTATGCCATTTTATGGTTCATGACCTGAAAATGTAGTTCTTCCAAGAAGAAAAGTGATGACCTAGATATGCAAAAGTAAAGGTATATTCTGTTACTCAGCTGTATTCACTTTTAACCAGTTCTGCACTAACACCTACTTATAAATCTCCCTTTGCTTGTTTGTAAATAGACTCCAGTTTTGTTTTGTTTTTTTTTTAAAAACAATTGAATCTTTGCCTCATCATCAGTCTGCCCAACAAATTCTCTAAGTTGGAGAGAGGGTGATAGAGAATGAATTTAGAAAAGGACCTGTAAAAGAAAACAATACTTACTTTTGCTGTTCCTCAAACACTGTTAAGCAGTATTTGTTATTAGACATTCTTGCATCTACAGCTGAACATTAACATTTCTGAAGTCATTATCTGATTCCATAAAAAAATCAAGCCACCTAATACTTCATGGAGTCCTGGTGTGGCGCTGTGGGTTAATGCGCCAGACTGCAAAGCTGTTGGAACTGCAAGGTTGGCAGGGTGGTTCAAGCTCACCAGCTGCTCCTTGGAAACCCTACACAGGGTTGCTATGGGTCAGAATCTACTCGATGGCACTCAACATCAACAACAATACTTTATAGTCAGTTTCATTAAGCACCTGTCCAGATTAAATTAATTCCTAACAATTCACTACTATGTCTATTATGTGTGCATGCTATTTTCATTTTAGTTTTGCTGATGCTTTTCTATAAAATATGTTTTTACTAAGCCAATGTGTAAATGATTTTAAAATTGACAGAGTAAGGTACAATTGTAGTGTAGTTAATAAACTGCCAACCATAGCAAAAATAAAAAGCATAATGTTCAAGGGCAGAGCTCTTTTATTAGGTAAACTAAGCTTAACTAGTTTGGTTTTAAGAAGACTTCAAAAAATATTTTTGGTTTAAATTTTAAGGATTATCTCAGGGCAATAGTTTCAGGGATTATCCAGCTTCTATTGTTCCAGAAAGTCCATGGAGTCCATGAGAATTTGTAGGTTTGTTCTACAATCTCCCCCTTTTGAACAGGAATTTCAAAATCAAAATGTTCAGTAATGGTAGTAGGTCATCATCCAGTATTTCTGGTCTCATGGCACAGAAGGCAATAAGCCACACATCCTATATCCTCCTATTACTGACTCCTCCCATCCTCTTTTGTTCCAGGTGAATACAGACCAGTTGTGCTTTAATAGCCACTTGTAAACTTTTATGACCATAGGCATTACTAAACTGAGAGGTACAGTGGAAGCACTAAACAATTATTAGGCGAATGAAACTATGATCATAAACCTCCAAACCAAGGAACCAAATCTCATGAGGTATTTGGTTGTGCATAGCAACCTTGGCAGCTGCTCTTTTCATTTTTTGGTTATTGTAAATGATCTATCACAAAACTTGCGCCAATTCAACTTTTTACAGGTTACAACCTACAGACAGCATTTACAATAATCAGTTGGGCAAAATTACCCTTCATCAGTATGATTCTTCCATCACTACTAACCTCCCTTTCCCTCTCCCTCTTGCTCCTGGTAACCATTAATAAAGTTTGGTCTCTATAGATTTGCCTTTTCTTGTCCTTTTTTGTAAGTTGTTGTTGTTGTTAAGTGCCACTGAGTCTGTTCCAACCCATAGTGACTGTGTGCAGCGTTTCCGAGGCTGTAAATATTTACAGGAGCAGAAAGTCTCATCTTTCTCCCATGGAGCCACTGTTGGTATCGAGCTGCTGACCTTGAGGTTAGTAGCCCAACTTGTAACCATTATGTTACCAGAGCTTCTTATGTGTGGATGGCTCCTGGTGTGGTGCTGTGGGTTAATGTGCTGGACTACAATGTCGGTTTGAATAGCAAGGTTGATGGTTCAAGCTCACCAGCCGCTCCTTGGAAACCCTATACAGGGCCCCTATGGGTAGGAACCGATTTGATGACACTTAACAACTTTATGTAAGTAAGTTCTTATGATACTTGTCCTTTTGTGATTGACTTGTTTTGCTCAGCATGTAGTCAAGCTCCATCCATACTGTAGCTTGTATCAAAGTCTTCATTTCTTCTATTCACTGAGTAGTATTCCATTGCATGTATCTATCACATACTGTTTACTCATTCTTTGGCTGATGGGCATTTTAGTTATTTCCACATTTTGGCTTTTGGGAACAGAGCTACAATTATCACTAATGCATACTTCTCTTTCTGTGTCTCTGTTTTCAAGTCTTTTGGGTATATACATATAAATAGAATTGCTGGATTAAAAACAGTTTCTAGTTTGCTTCAGAAACCACCGCACTGTTTTGCACACTCTACCATTATGCATTTCCACAAACAATGGATATATAAGGAACTCTCTGGTAGCATAGTGGTTATGAGTTGCGCTGTTCACCTCAAGGTCAGCAGTTCTAAACTATCAGCTGTTGCGTGGGAGAAAGATGAGGCTTTCTGCTCCCATAAAGATTTACAGCCTCGGAAACCCTATGCAGGGTTGCTATGAGTTGGAATCAACTCCACGGTATACCACCACCACCACAATGGAGAAGGGCTTCAATTTCCCCACATCCTGGCCAACATTTGTTATTTTCTGTTTGTTTGTTTTCCTTAGCCATCCCGGTGGGAGAGAAATGATCTCACAGTGGTTTTGATTTGCTTCTCTATGATGGGTGAATCAGAATCCATTGGATGCAAGTGGGTGAGATGGGTAATAGTGTTGAGCATCTTTTTATGCATTTGGTAACCATTTGAATACTCTCTTTGGAGAAATGTCTACTAAAATTCTTTCCTATTTTATGATTGGGTTGTCTTTTTGTTATTAATTTATCAGTTTTGTACATATATGCGAGGGCTTCAAAAAGTTTGTAAAAAAATTAAATGAAAATGGAAATTTCCCATGAACTTTCTGAAGTGTCATTGTACTTTGATTATTAGATTCTCATTGGATATATGACTTCTGAAGATATTCTTCCATTGGTACTTTGTCTTTTCACTCTTTTCAATAAAGTCTTTCAATGAACAAAAGTTTTTAAATTTTATGAGGTGGTTTGTTGGTGGCTATGTGCCTTCAAAACTCATAGCAATCCTGTACAGGATTTCAAAGGCAGAAAACCTTATCCTTCTCCTGTGAAATGTCCGGCAGATTTGAACTGCTGAACTTGTGGTTAGCAGCTCAACTCATACTGCATTATCAGGGCTCCTTAGACACACTGTTGTTATTATTAAGTGCCATTTAGTCAGTTCTGACTCATAGAGACCCTGTATAGGGTTTCCATAGTTCCACTTAAGTACATTTTAATTACAAAGTAAATTTTCTTGAATTTGCTTTCTTTGAGAAGTCAATTACTCTATTAAGTGATAATCTTCTCTGTACACCTTTACCTCACAACAAAAAGGTAAAAATAAATTCAAAAACAACAACAAAAACAACAACAATATATTGTGCTGTAAGAGTATATGGAGTCCTGGTGTGGCGCTATTATTTATCGCACTGGACTGCAAAGTTGATTTGAACCACAAGGTTGTCGGTTCAAGCTCACCAGCTGCTCCTAGGAAACCCTATACAGGGTCACTATGGGACGGACTGACTTGACGGCACTTAATCAGCAGAAACAATTAGAGTATATAATAGAGGAATTGACCTAATTTGTTTGGGACACTGAAGATAGTATAGTGGGTATGTGCTGGGCTGCTGATCCACACAGC